AACAAAAAGAATGCGGAACTGTAACAATTTAAAAACCAACAATATTTTATTTAACAATTTTTATTACTAATTTATTACTAAATGTTTAAAATTCTTTCTTCTACATTAGACGTTGCTCTTCTTGACTAGAATATTGTTGGTTTATTAAATTGTTACAGTTACGCATTCTTTTTAATAAAATATTTCATAAAATAAATTTTATATTTTATTGCCTGCAATGGGCTATATTAGTAGGTACTTCATCTAGTTGACATCCTACAGCTTAGTTGATTTTTTTTTAAATTTGCAAATACCGTTTGTATTACTTTTAAATTTTAAAAATGTTTGGCTTGTCTATTTTTTTACGTCACTGATTATGTAAAAATTTACCGGGTTTTATTTTTTTATTTAAAATAAAAAAGTTATTAACCTTTCAAGTTGGCCTAATTTACCCTGGGTTTTCTTAGGTAATTTATTGAAAAATGTTAATGAATTGACAAGGAATCTTTTAAACATTGTTTTAGGATTCCAAAAATTCCACCCCTATATTCGCAAACCTAATAACAAAAAAGTTTTTGGCTTTCTTTAAATGACGCGCATTTCTCAAATTTTAACGAAAAAAACTATTTCACTTTAGGTATAGGACATGGTATAGTAATTTTATCCAGGATTGTATGTAGAATTTAATAAGATATGGGGTGTTCTATTTGAAATAACAAAGTTGATGTTAAACCGAAAGTGGCATTTTGTTCAAAATAAAAATAGATTTAAAATTTCAAATTGAATTTTTTTTCCGTTCTCCAGAAACTTCTAATGAACCACGAATGTGAAACACCCTGTATAAACTTGAATTCATGCCAAAATGTCGAGATTAATGGTTTTATAATTAAATAATACTTACATTATATTAATGTTTTTTCGACTTCCTCTGTTCAAGATTAAATTACATTTCATTTTGCATAATTAATTAGAAGTGTGGTTAGGTTTAACCCGGCTTGCTTTCCGCCGCAGGAAAATGAAAAAGTGAATTAAATTAAATTAAAATTAACGTGAACATATCTAATGTGTTTCTGTGTTTCGTACGCTGTAAAGCTCTTCTTACTTAATGGATTTATGTTTTACTTTGCGGCCTGCTTTCAATGCTCCGTTCTTTAAATAGGGACAACCGGAAAGTTTGTTTACAAATAAATAAACCGGACAATAGCTAACAAAACTTCATAAGGAACAAATTTAATTAAATTGATTTGTAATACACTGTTTAAAATATCTGTGGTGTAAAGAGTAATCTTAAAATGGTGTCTAAATCCAACACCAAGTGGTGTTAATATAAACACCATGAATTATAGTTGAACATGTTATATACAGCAAACACCAAAACAGTGTTTATCAAAAAATATTTGAGAAGGGCACCTACCTAGTTGACCCATAAGGATTTATTTAAATCAACTGTGTGAAGGTTAATATAAACAAAGATTAGTTTGACGATACTAAACCAGTTATTTTATTTTTTTTAAATTGGTTAAATTAACCCAGAAAACTTTAGTGAAACCAACCCGCTGTATGGTTCAGTTTACTAAATATGTTGTTTGTAAAATAAGAGTTACTTCTACCTAAAGCACTCTGTTAAAACGATTAAAACAATTTGCCGTGCATTCCTGGTTGCATAGTGTGTACCGATCGCGGCAAAGGCGGTGTGGATCACGTGATGTTCTTAAATCTCGCCTCTTACATGTTCGATACTAAAAAGACCTTAAATAGGTGGAAACAGCTGTCAATACTTGAAGTATTTTAAGTTGGTGGAACGCACTTAAAACATTATCTCTAGCGAGTTGAAGGTTCAATTTTCTGGAACAATACCACTGGTAATATACTAGTAATGCGTCAAGGAACTTCCTGTTTCCTTTTTTTTCTTTTTTTTCTGTGTAGTATGATTTAATTTGACCAAAAACACATAATATTTAACACTGAAAAGGACTTCAATTTACACCAGGTAAAATTTATTTTTTCTACTACCTTAATGGAAAACTTAATTTTCCACCCCCGAGCGAGGGAGGAAAATGCCTCTTTTCCTCCCCAGGAGGAAAAAAAATTTCCTCCCTCTATTTTTTTTAACAATTTTACATTAGCAAGAGTTTTGTACCTTGTCTAGCCCTATTTGATTTTGTAGGAAAAAGATTTACTCCGCGCTTGTCCAACCATTCTTTATTTAGTTTAGTTTATTGCTTATAACAAATGTTTTAGCAGTATCAAAGTTACAAAAAAAAATACATGACTATATTCCTTTTTATATCTCTTTTCCGATTTTTGTTGAAGAAGATTAATTTCAACTACTCTTGCCTCTTCAGCAAGATCTTGCGGCAGGTCTTCTTCGCTAGAACTCATTTTTAAAACGTAGGAAGAATTTCAAATTTATGATAACCTGACAGCTTATAACAACAGTTGTTATGTTTGTTTTACCAAAAATACCATAGCAACAAAGCGTTGTCAACATAACGTCGGCGACGCAAACCCTACTTTATATTTTGTCATAATAATAATAATAATAATAATAATAATAATAATACTTTATTGCCCAACAGATTTACATCCAATTAAAGGACAAAATTATACAATATACAATATACAATAGGTTTATATGTACATAAAATAAAACAACATTTACACATTAATGATATTTTTGTAAAATAAATCAGCTTCTTTTAATAAGAAAGTTAGCGAAGAACTATTAATGTCAATTTTTTAAGATATTTCGTTAATATTTTTCATCATGACTTGCACTGGAGATTTCAACAAAACATTAGTACGGGCATTATCTTCCCTAAAAGTTAATTTAGTCCTAGAGTTAAAACGCGGAATAAACAGATTAAACATAGATAATAACAACATACAGTCGATATTATTATGAAACAAGTCATACACAAATTTTATGCTAAACTTAACTCTTCGCAATTCAAGTGAGTCCATTGAAAAGGCCCGAAGTAATTCAGCCTGAGGATGACCTCTGATAGGATAAAAACCATGGATTCTAAAGTTTACGAATTTCAGGAATCGTCTTTGAATATTTTCCAACGAAACTTTGTAGGTTTTGTAAATCAAGCTGCAATATTCGAGCCTTGAACGAACAAACGAATAATACAAATTTTTTAATGGGTTTATATCATTGAATGTATCAGAATTCCTTACAATAAATCCCAACATTTTTAGGGAAGAACTAGTTATATTACTTATATGCCTATCAAAAGTTAATTTATACAGTATCAGAACGGTCTAGTAAGTTATTAAACATATAATTAAATGTTAACGGATTATGGCCTTTGTAATATGACATAACTTTACACTTAGAGGCATTCATATACAATTTATTGGCATGACACGATTGGTTAATTTTGTTTAGATTATTTTGAATCATACTACAGCTCTCAGCACCATCTACCCTAAGAAATATTTTTAAGTCATCTGCGAACATAAGTTTTTCACAGTCAAGGTCTTGAACAATATCATTAATAAAAATGAGAAAAAGCAGAGGACCTAAATTTGAGCCTTGCGGGACTCCAGATTTACAAATAAATGGCAATGAGTTAAAACCATTATAAGAGACAAATTGAGTTCTATTAGTGAGATAAGAAGCAAAGAACTGAGTTAATGAATTGTCAAAGCCAATAGTATTAAGTTTGCTCACAATAAGCGAATGACTAATCCTGTCAAAGGCCTTCGAGAAATCCGTGTACACCACATCAACTTGTGATCGCTGGTCAAGTGCTTTGGAAACATATTGGGTAAAATAAACAAGATTAGTAGTTGTGGAGCGACCAGCCATAAATCCATGCTGATGCGGTGATAGTTGATTACGAATAAAGGGATAAATGGTGGAGTACAGGGCCATCTCAAAGACCTTCGCAAAGTTAGACAGTATCGAGATGGGGCGATAGTTCGACATATTGGACGCATCACCGCCTTTAAGAACTGGACAGACACGAGCGATTTTCCAAATTTCTGGAAATAATATTATAGCCCCATACCGGGTTAGTAAAAAGAACCGGAACGCTTAAAATGTCTTTAAAACCGTTAAAAGGTAATAGAAAAAACCATATACATACCTCAAGAGGAAAATGCGTTTCCTCCCTTGAATATTTAATGCCCTTCGCTTCGCGTCGGGCATCAAACTATTCACGAGAGGAAAAACACTACCTTACTAGAAAACTTAATTTTCCACCCCCGAGCGAGGGAGGAAAATGCCACTTTTCCTCCCCGGCAGGAAAAAAAATTTCCTCCCTCTTTTTTTTTTAACCATTTTACATTAGCAAGAGTTTTTGTACCTTGTCTAGCCCTATTTGATTTTGTAGGAAAAAGATTTACTGCGCGCTTGTCCAACCATTCTTTTAACAAACTATATGTAGGTATTCATTTTCATAACACTCTTTCGATTTTTAAGAAAGGAAATTAATTGCAACTATTCTTGCCTCTTTAGCAAGATCTTGCGGCAGGTCTTCTTCGCTAGAACTCATTTTCAAAACCTAGGAAGAATTTCAAATTTATGATAAATATTCTGACAGCTTATAAAAACTCTTATAACTGTTATATATATATATAACCAAAAATACCATAGCAACAAAGCGTTGTCAACAAAACGTCGGCGACGCAACACCTACTTAATATTTTGTCATAATTTTATAGCCCCATACCGGGTTAGAAAAAGGAACCGGAACGCTTAAAATGTTTTAAACCGTTAAAAGGTAATAGAAAAAACTATATACATACCTCAGGAGGAAAATGCGTTTCCTCCCTTGAATATTTAATGCGCTTCGCTTCGCGTCGGGAGGAAAAGCAGTATTTTCCTCCCATGGTATATAAATAGCTATTAATACTGTGTGAAAGTTAAATTTTCACTATTTTAGTATTTGAATTTACACTGGACCAACGAACCATGTTGGTTTGTATCGATATAGACCATGTATGGTGTTAATTTGGTATTAAAATGGTCATGAAATTTTGAACAGTGTAGAGGGCAGAAAAAAACAGAAGCTGACAGTTACAGTTTTATTTACACGGTTTAGTCAAAAACTTAGGCGTTTAACAAGAAGACATCTGAAAAGGGGAAAAACGCCCCCATGGGGTCTCCCAAATCGGCCAAATAACAGGCTGCGCCGGCCAAACCTTCGTACAAACTGTAGGGATAATCTGGGACCCGGGAATCTTTTTTAAACTGCTCAGTTTCCATGAAGCGATAAAAACAAATGGCTCTGTGCAAATACTTCACGTTCATGGTGAGTCTGTAGAGCAGCAGGAAAACGTATCCGTTTCCGGCCACGCCGTGGCAAATCCCAGGGCCTTTTTTCAGCAGGCCTTTACTCCAAATCAATTCGGATATGAGTTTGCACGAGTCCAGGTAATTTGTGTCGTTGAATGTCAGGTAGGCCTTGGCCATCATGTACACTATACCGCCTGCGCCGTGGCACCAGTGGACCAAGTCGGCCCCCAAACCGATTTCGTCCGTCGCTGCCGGAAAATTACCCTCCGACGTTTGCAATCCCAAAACATAATCCACGCAGCTCCTGACGTCATCCTTGACGTCGGGATGAGCGTCCAAAAACCCCGGCACGGACATCAAGGCTTGCAAGATGGAGGAAATGCCGTGGGCGGCGCCTAAATACTCTATCTGATAGTACGAGTACATAAGCGGACACGGGCTTTTCATCTGTTTCGCGTAGGCCCTGCCAGATGTCACCATCGCGGAACAAATCTCGCTCAAGTCCGCCAACTTCAACTCGGTTTTCGTCACTTTCGATAGCCACAACGCCCCCAAAACGTAACCGGCTCTTCCGACGAAGAGTTCATCGGACCCGCAGTTTAAGAATTTGGGCTCCCTGCAAACCCTTCCAGTCTCCTGATACAGCTGCACGAACAACTTGCTCGTGTTAGAGTCGCCCAGAGCCTCGTAAATGGCCGCCGACACGGCGTAAATGCCGCAGTTGCCCAAAACGAAAGAAGGCAGATCCGCGGGATGCCGGGTGTTGTATGTTGCCACGTTTATCGCGGGCTTGAGAAATTTGACTGCCTCGCCCAGTAGATCGGTTTGTTCTTCCCGGAATATTATATTTTTGCTTAGGTGGTAGTACATGTAGGATATTCCTGCAGTGCCCAGATACAAACCGTCGCCCGCATTTTTTTCTATTGCTTGCACTTTGTCCACAATTCTGTTAATAATTTCGTTAACTTTTAATTTCAGCTCTTCGCGAGGCACATCGGGTATCCCATCGCTATTCACGTTGTAATCGGGGTAAGCGTTGATAAAGTATCGCAAGTTTGGCATTTTTCTTTCTATTAAACCACGTAAATACCTTACAACGTTTTTATACATTTAATTTGTTCATTTTTGAAGTTTTCCAAATTTTTGACGTTTAGTTGAAGATAATTTATTTTTTGAAAAAAATACAATTGGTACTATACATTTATAGACAGTACGTATTGAGAAATGAAAAACCAATCAATTATAGCATTGTTATTGACTATAGCGTTTTTTCTGTGTAACAAGTTGCAACAAAAGATAGGTTCAATAGCTTTAATCCGCATCTAATCTACTAAAAATGTAATCCTGCATTTTCTCGAGGTTAAGCGTCTTTAACGAATCTAAACCAGAAAAACAAAACAGCAAACGTAATTATTCGTATAAATCGGTACAAAACCTAAACTTAAAAAACAGCCGTGATACGCAATAGATATTGATATAAACAAAAAGTCAAGTGCAGTCACCTACACAGAAAAAACGCTAGCATAGCATGAATGGGTGAGCCATTAAACCAATGGGACCTTGTAATCCGTATTCCTGAATAACAGTTCCTATAATACCAATAGGTAGTTAGCACTTGGTTTATAATCGTTTACTGTTTTTAAATTAACAACAAAAGTTATCGCTCCTAAATTTATTGATATTCATATTGATATTTATTTGTTAAAATGTTAGAATGTTATTGCATTAAATACTAATTTGATTTATTTAATAACGTTACTATTGTATGTATACTATGTATACATTTAACGCAATAAATTATTTGACATTTAGGCAAAATATTTCCCTATTTTGGTTTAATAGTAATTAATTGAGCAAATAACAATTTAGATTGCTTCAATTTTAATGCATTCAATGACAGCGCTGTTCTTGGTACTATGTTAGATTTTTTTCTGTGTATAGTCATCAACAATAAACATGCCAACATTCCACTATTTTAATAAGTTTGAAATAAAGCTAAGGCTTACGCACAGTGGTACAACTAATTTGTATCTACTTACTTTACTTTACAGATAATTTTCGCATAATTCGTTATAAAAAAAACTATTGTTAACTATCGGTAGTCACATTGCTGACTACCGAAAACTATCTTTCAATGGTTCTCGACCCTAGACTGAACGGGCGCAAACGAACGAATAGTAGACCATCAACACGGTGTGCCTGAACAAGTCTCAGGTCACATAAAAATGTCAACCAAAACGGATTGTATTTTTGAAATATGCATCTATTCCTCACTCCAAAACCATATTTTTCAAAATCCTAGCTGATCCTCTTTTTTTATTTTTTTGCAATTTTCTGGATTAAAAAAAACAAGAAACCTGAATATCGGCTTAATTAAATTAGATTTATAACATGATTGTCATTATATTTAATTGGTAGATTCGTTTTTGAGTGAGTATTGATCTATTTAATATATATTAAATGGATCAATACTCACTCAAAAATGGATATCCGTTGGGTGAATAGGATAAGATCGGAATTAAACTAGAGAATCTCTAGTTTAAATTACATTTTAATTTCTGTTGCTATTTAAAATACGGCTGCAAGAAAAAAGGTGCAATGGTGCAATTACCTTATTAACACGCTTACACAGCTTTAAGCAGTTTTTTAAACAAAGTAGGCCATGTCTCTATGAGGCGCCGTTTGTGCCATAATTATGATTTGTAAAATATATAATAATTTCTAAAATAAATATATATTTTGTTTAAAATATAAATATTTTATCTAAAATATATATATTTAGCTTATTTTATAACATATATATTAGTTTTACTAAAATATAATAATATTTTTACAAAATAATATATATTTAAAATATTTATATATTTGGACAGTTGAACTAATAATATAATTTAAATACTAATAATATAAACTCAGCTTACAAGACCTAACGCCAGGAGGCGCTGGCTGCTTTATTTAACTTGGCAACGCAGCCTGTCTGTAATTGCATGTCGGAATTACTGTGGTGTAAATTAAATAAAACTAGAGGATACATTAAAAATAATAATACCTCTGGTACGTAATAAAGCACTTGGGTATAAGTTTAAATTAAAATCTAACAGATTAATAGGTCATTTAAAATTTCACCGCAGTAATGGAACCAAATCGACGACATAGTTTTGCGTAGCCCAGAATTAAGGAATAAAAAATTGTTTAAAAAGAGAGTCACGACAATAAACATCCAGTTAAACATATAAAAAATAACAAAAAGCCAAAGTTCGGCAAAAAGTTATTTAATTTACACCACTGTAATTCTCACATGAAATGAAAGGCTGCGTTGACAAGTTAAATAAAGCTGCCAGCGCCTCCTAGCGTTACGTCTTGTAAGCTTAGTTTATATTATTAGTATTGAGTTTATATTATTAGTGTTACTGTTTTAAATATATATTATTTAGTTAAAATATTATATATTTTAGTAAAACTAATATATATCTAAGAAAATGAGTTAAAATATATATATTTCAAACAAATTATTTATATTAAAAAAAAAATATTTATATTTTTACAAATAATTCTATATTTTATAAATCATAATTATGGCACAAACGGCGCCTCATATGTCTCAGCGAAAAAACAACTTATAGGCAGTAATTTTTTATTAGTGACAGTTAATAGTATCTATTGGTTATAGAGGTTCTCTCGATAATTTTGAAGTTTTTAAAATAAAAATGACTACAAACGCAAGATTTAAATTGAACCATGAAGAAAATAGAGGTATAGTCTGTGCCCAATGCGGTGAAAAGATAATTTTTGAAAAATCCCTACCCAATAGCATGTTTGTAATAACTGCAAGATTGGAAAGATTGCTTGTTAAATTTAGTAATCCGAAATATAGTCTAAGCAATATCAAGTTTTTAACTGCAATTTGCGGTATTTGCGAATACGAAAAAATATTAAAACACGCAAGATGGTGAAAATGCCAGACTTTGACAAAGAAAATGTTATTACAAACTCTACTAGGAATATCCAAAATGAGGTGTTTGCGTGCAGAATATGCACAACAGCAAGATTCAAAGAAAGGTAACACGAGGAAGGGGAAATACAAAAAAACAAGGAAAAAAAGGCCCAGGATACCGAAAATAAAATTAATTTGGGCAAAATCTGTTTCACAAGAGTTGGTAAAGGAAAAAAACATATATGTACGAATTCAGAAAGACATGAAAATGTCGTCAATATTATAAAAAAAATTACGCCGAAAACTCAAGAACAAGTCGTTTCTTCAGTTCTCAAGACCCGAGTATTCTAATAATTCATCATCTTCACGCAAAAATGCTTCTATTAGTCTAAAGATTGTCTACGGAAGATTGTATTAGATTTTTAAACGGTGCTGGGTTGGGCACGTGGTCTGAGCAGGCTGGGGAGTCGATCCTTCGCGAGTTTATAAAATACTGGAATAAGTATAAAATCAAAAAAAGCTGTAGTAGACTTTAGTTCTAACAATTTGGAAATGATTCATAGTTTTCTGTAAAGTAATTTTAGGTATCATTATTGTTTAATAAATTAAAAGATTACTATTATTAATAAAAATTAAATTATGAAAAAACTTCACTTTTTTTTCTAGTCTCTTGTCAAATTAAAAAATGTATTGATTTATAAAAAAATGGAAAAATTTAAATAGTGATTTTTTTCGACTCTCTCTTTATATTTTATTTCTTGATTCTTTATTGAAATTGATGATTGATAGGTCATACTAATATTTTAGCGAAGTCCGCCTAAAATTGTAAATTTTAGACATCACTTCATCAATTTTTGCAAAAATCCAGAAAATTGCAAAAAAATAAAAAAGAGGATCAGCTAGGATTTTGAAAAATATGGTTTTGGAGTGAGGAATAGATGCATATTCCAAAAATACAATCCGTTTTGGTTGACATTTTTATGTGACCTGAGACTTGTTCAGGCACACCGTGTCAAGGATAGGTCCAAGCAGCGAACTAACCATCAAAACCCCATTAATGAACCCCAATTGAATGGGGGTATTACGAAATGCCTGGTTTAGGGGGATTCCGGCCTGGCGACAAAATTCCGGAAGGGACCCCAAAACGTCATCCACGACCTCTTAAGAGAGATTTACTGAAAGTTGGTAAAAAACAACTCTCGGAGATCAGTGTTATACTCATACACATACTCATACTCAAATTTATAGACGGAAGGAAGAAAATAGGTAATTATTATTTTGCCAATACAATATATGCGACATATCAAAAAGGCTGAAATCAACAAATTAAAAAAAAAATAAAACTAATAAACCATGAGTGGTATTTTGCTGATAATTTCTATCTAATTATATAAAAGTGACATCAACTTATTATTATGATTTAGGTTTCCTGTTTGTTTTTAACCCAAATTAAGTCGAAACACAATAAAAGATAACAAGACTTTTTTGTCTAAGTATAATCAGATGTTTATGCCACAAAAGTTTGTTTACCTACAAGTATTAGATTAAACAGCAACAAGATTATTTTGTTCCATAATTAAATTATTTTTATTTACTTTACATACATGTTTCACATTCGTGGTAGATTAGAAGTATCTGCACTCAGAAAATTTTTTAATAAATATAACAAAAAAAGTAGTTTGTCTTAATAAAGTAAAGATCCCTATTCGTCCAACAATTGCTTTTGTTACGGCAAAAAGATCATTTTTATAAAAATTATTTATCTACAAACGCTGCTTTCAGTAATAGCATTTGTATTAATTATAAAGTAAATTTACGTTATGTTTATAAAAATAACACTCTTTCAGATGCAGAAACGCATTGATAAATACTATTTTTATTATTTGTCCAAAAAAACAGTTCTATACCGTTTACAAAAACGTTTTGTAGTATTAATGAAACCCTAATGTTATTATTCATAGAAATATTGTAAATTTTACAAATCCCTTTTCGTTTAAAATAAAACTTTTTTTATTATATTAATAAAATTTATGTAAATTTAACAACAAATTAATTGTTAATTCAATAAACTATTTTCATTGTAACAATGGTCAAATTTTCAACCTACTGTTGGGTGTTGGGTAGTTTTTTTAAAATAATTGCAAGGCATTAAAACAAATTATTTATTATAACAAAAAAATTAAGTCATATTATATGATGTACAAAATAAAAAAAATACGAACTCACT